CAGGAAAATACTAAACGAAACATTCCAAACACTGTCACAGCCTTGTCCTAAAGCATATACACTGCTTTTAGGTAGATTCTACTGCAAATGGAGAACAGTTTACAACATCACATGATGTATTAATGTCTTGAAAACTTGAGACCACATACAAATGTTTTCTGAAGTGCCTACACATTATTTTTAAGATTTTAAGAAAAACTAATCTTGTCAGGAACGTACGTTGGGGAAGGTAGGACTCAGACGAAGAGTATTCATTTTGGTCCTTCCCCCTTTTGCTCCGTCTCCTGCAGCAGACCTGAGTCAGATGTGACTTTGACTTGACCAGTCAAAGCTCCACAGTAGCTATCTGAGGTGTTACTGTTACAGAAAACTGTTACAGCAGACGGGGAAGGGGGTCGTGGACGATGCGGCCGGGGGGTGGACGTCGGTACTTTTGCAGCTGCTTTCGCTTCAGAGCTGGACATGGGGGGGTATCTGGAGCTGCCTCAGACGACGCTCAAATCGACACTCTGCCAAGAGCCCCGCCCTCCTCTGATTGGTTTGTTTCAGGTTCAAGGCCAATCAAACCCACAATGGCAGTGAGTATTACCCCATCAGGGTCTTCACAGAATTCAGGTGCGATTATTTGCATGGGATGCTGCATTGACGACAACTCTGAAAATACAGGACGCGCTATTTTATTCTTAAGGGACGGGTGGCAACCCTAGTTACTGATCCTGAGAACAAGATCAGGCCTCCAGGCTGACTGAGGAGAGCAGAGTGCTCGGCTAATTACTTCTACTGCTTTCTTCCATCTTTTCACATCTGTGTCTGAAGCCAAATCAACCTCTGAAATTGGATCCCTCGCACTTCATGACCCTTGACGATACATTGCTTCAACCCTCCTGCACACAGCAACGCATGCTCCATCACAAGACCCCATGGCGACAGTAATAGACAATGGGAGTGTGACGGTTGTTGAGCATCCATTCGTGAGACACCTTTGTTAAACCAGGGAATACCCTGTACTTGTGAAAGTTTCAGTCTATTCCAAAATCACGCTCAGTGAAAGAAGCCATTCCAAACCGTGGCTTAATACCCTGAGATGTCACTTCAGCACATGCTTTGTGCAGGTAAATTGTTTCTGGATAAAGGGAAGGCATATAAAAGGGCAGGGCTTTCCTACTTTGATATAATATCTGTGTTTATTTTTGTAAATGTTCATTATTGTAATATTTGGAGGAGCCGTTTCGGAGCGAGGCGTAAAAGGACAGTTTGTGTAGCCGTCACGTTCTCACTGGATTTTACAACTTTGGGAGCAAGCGGTTGCACACTCGCTCTAGTTTCTCAGGATAACCCACACTTTAAGTAAATATAGCGATGCTACAAAAAAACAACAACACCTCGTTCAATTCAATGTGAAGGTGTATCCAAACCTTTGACTGGTACTATATATACACTTGAAAGTTTTACCATCAAATTGAATCAACTACAACGACTACAAACTCGACCATTCTGTGGTCCTGGTGGTTTGGAAATACTAATAAATATAGAAATTTATAGAATATGCCTTCATACCTCACCTTACATGCACTAAATAGCCTACCACTGACACCCTACAACGGAAACCCCAACAGGGAGTGTAAAGGATACTTTGTCACGCTGCAAAGATAGACCTCTGCATAGTGTCAGAACCACAGGACTTTCCCATCCGTCAGAGGAGGGCGTGGCCTTAATGACACTCGGGGACTGTGGTTACACGGGGCCCCAAGAGGCTGAGCCGTAAGGCTTCCTTCAATTATGCATTTAGCAATTTGAATTGACCAATATGTCTTGCTCAGATAACCACTTATATATGATGGGTGGGTGTAAGGGAGAGAAATAAAGCATACAAATACCCATATTTTAATAAATATACCATATTGGGGTTTTACTCCTCCAAGCTTCCTTGGTCAACTTAAGCAAGACATGTTATGAATAGATAGTTTTGGCTCTGCTAAAGGGACATTATGAATTGTTTTGTACTACAGCTAAGGTGTGCTCAGAAAGAGCACTTAGTTGATTATTGGACAATGTGAAGTTTGACGGAATCTTGATACGCTTCAAACACACACATGTGTCTGATTGCAAAGTAAGTAATTACGCTGTAAGCACTTAGTGAATGAACTAACCAAAGTCAGCGAGCAACTGCCGAGCTGGTTGGATTCGTCCTTTGTTAAACTCGAGGCAAGTTCCACAGCAGGTGATTATTGGGCGGATGTGGCGAAGAGCTGCAGGGTTACGTTGCTGGTTTGCCTTGTAACGATGTTCTGTTCACATTTCCGTCTGGTTCCCACTATCTATCCAAGTGGTACATAATATCATCTTTATTAATATGCAAACCTAGACTTGAAACGCTCATTTCTGCTCTTGATGAAAACTTTCTGCACATTCATAATACAACCCATAGAGCTTTGTTCTCTGAAACGTCAATATATTTTGATAAATCTGTAATATGAAAATAATATCACAGTATCTCAGGAAAAACGTGGATATTGGAGATTAAGTCTCTGCACAAAGGAAAGTTCAAATTGCTTTACTCTGAAGAAAATACTAAGCAATTTGCCAATATATTGGTAAGCAAAATCCACGCAGAATATCCACATGCAAATGGACAGCATTGGTTTCCTCCTCATTACACAAACTGTTTTTACCAAACTTCTTAGCTTGGAATGAGTCCAGGGTTAGTCAGAACGAAAAGACATTCACAACAATAGATATTGCAAAGAAAGCAGACACATCCTCCCTTTTGCGTTCTAAGGGTTTTACCCGAATGGCCTCACAAACAAGTGGAATGGAAGGTTACGTCCTTCAAAACAAGTTAAACGTTAAATTTATCCACCCCTAAAACATGTGGAGAAGTAGATAAGGAGCAAATTAACTTGGCAGTGAATGGTTGGATTTATTATGTCCAATTAGTGACAGAAGTCCATCTGTGTGCAGTCACTTCTCATCCCCTGGCTTGGAAGAGTCAGGTGCTGGTGGTACTTGCTGACAGGTCCGTTAATATGTTTGAGTCACAGAGGTTCATTACTCATTTTCTCCCTTCGTCTCTTTTTTGTATGTTCATTCACACTTGAAGCAGTGGCTAATATGGCAGCATTTTTTTCAGGAGATCTTTGAAAACAAGCTGAGTTCTGGAAATTAGAGATACTGAAATTACCCCTCAGATTGTTCGCATATGCCAACCAGTGGAATTGCAACTTACATCACACATGTCTTTCATAAAACAGTTTTGTCAGTTCACAATGACCTCAACCTTGAATTTTGAAACAATTTTTCAGACCTATTTCCTAAATTTGAAAGATTCCGTCAGGGAGCTTCTGATTGTGTCGACAAGATGTAGGGACAAACCAAAAACATAACGCCATCTCCTTCTATAGGAATTTACTTCTTAATGATTGAGCTTCTTCCCCGGAGTCGGTGTGCTGTCTCGCCTTACGTTTTTATAGATTGCGTTCCTATTTGGACCCTGGTCCAGAACGCGAGGGGGAGCTCTCCTTTGCAGTCCTCCCTTTTTTCATTTTTAGGGGGCTGGACTGGAAAGTCATCTGTGGCAAAAATGAAATGGATAAAAAAAGATGGATGGAAAGATGACCAACTGCCAAAGCGGCTGATGGAAGTTCTAAAGTTTAGGCGTCCCCTCAACAAGCATACCTTTCTCTATCCAATAAAATGAATTACGCACAGAAACGTTGCACATTTCAATGCATCTTTAGGTTCATTGGTAACATTTTTCAATACGTGGTTGCATGGATAGCACAAGTTCCATGAGGGCAAATCAATGAATCGTATGAATCCATCATTGAGCTGCATAATGTAGAATCAATGGTGTCTAAACATAAGATATCTGTCCACACAACTCTGACAGATGGCGATAGAAAAAAATCTAACGTTGGCAAATATTTAATGGCCGACGAAAGTTTCAGAGTGGTTGTGTCTCCATGGTTGACAGATTCTGTCCACTTTAGACAAAAAGTATAGAATTTAAGTGCCAAAATATTACCAGCATCAGGCTGGTGTGTACGTGCAGCCTCGGCTCTGCCGAACTCTTCCCCCCGCATTCCCTCCTCAGCCATCTCTGTGATTGTGTCTCCTCACCACGCTGCATGTCGCGCTGCTACGGAATCACTGAACGAGGATTCTCTGCCAAAACGAAGCCTAAAATGAAGTGTGGACTATTGCCGAAGACACGGAAATTGTGCGTTTTCGTTGCTGAATCCATCTCATAGTGGACTGAAGGAAGCGGAATGGTTTCTGTGCCTCTATGGCATCTCCCCGTATTAGTGTATTGGCTTCAGTTTAAACGGTCACAGGTGTCTCCGCTCTTACTGCCGTGGGCTCTTTATTTCCACTACGTGAGCAGACACACGAGACCCCTTTCAGAAGCACCGGCAGACCCGACTATTGGTTTTGGTTGCCGGAGGATCAGTCACCCCAAGTGCATCAGGTCTGTTGCTGTTTCCATGCAAAAAGGCAGATTCGGGACAAAAGGCTGGAAGACCTGACCCAAATCTGTCTTTACATAAGGCCCCTCCTGCATGATGGAGATACGACTCAGGGAGCAAATCATGAGATTATTCCAATATCATATAGCAGTAGTTGGTCACATTGGGCGCTGGTATAGCACAGCAAGGGGTCGGTTAAAGACAGGGAGCATAGCAGGGGGGGATCTGATAAGAGGGGGAGGGAGTGTTCTCATACTAAAATGTTCTAATCGATAGAAGGAAGGCCGTTTCATTCATCTACGCTGCAGCACAGGGTTTAATGCCTTTCTGCCTTGGCTCAGTGAAGTATAAGCAGAAAGTGCTGAACATAATGGACACAATCATGAAGATACAGGTGCGACCTCGTCATTAAGGGGAACATCTGGCAAATAACAATCCTGCCGATGTTATAACAGGGGTAAAGGAAACAGCACACGTCACACCTGTGCGTCCTATGAGCAAGGCATTAATGACAGAAAGACGGAGGGTACTTACATGCCATATTGCGAAGAAGATCAGGGACACACAGAGGACCAGAGACAGCATGTAGCAGAAGGCAGCAAAAGTGAACATCATTGAAAGAGGAAACTGCGGATAATTTCGCGAAGAAGCGCGATCCCGCTGACAAACATCTAAAGACGCCAACAACCAAAACAGGAAGCAGGGGGGGACACAGGGGGGGACACCGGGGGGAGTCCTCACGGCGCCATGAGACGCCGATGCGTTGCCGGCACCATGACTTCGCCCCGTGTTTGCAACAAAAAAACAACCCAGAAGCTCCGCAGACGGATCGTGGCGCGCGTCCACGCACGAGCAGCGGCGATGTGACTCAGATCCGCGCGCGGGGCTCGAGCTCGCCTCTATGCCGGAGATTATAGATGTGATGAGGTTTGTGCGCAAACACGTCCAGGTAATCCATCCAGTCCGCCGCCGCTGTGCGTGCGTGCGGGCGTGTGCGTGCGTGCGGCGGTGATGGCGTAATGAGGGGAGCTCCCCACGAGCCACAAGGCGCTCAAAAAGAAAGCAGGAAATAAATAGTGTTTTCTACCCTTGGAACCGCATCGGGGAGCAGGGGGGCGCGAACAGGTGGATTTAAAAGCGCAGCAAACCCGGCGTGCGCGCGGAGCGGACGCACGTGCCGTGAATCTCTGATGAGCCGCGGTGACGTTCGGATGGAAAACGGTTCTGGGCGTCTGGACTGAACAGCGCGGGTTTCTGGGTGAACGGATGGATGCGGTGAAGATACATTTAGCGACTTTAACCATTTAATCTGCACAAAACACGTAAGAGATTAGATTATTATATCGGCCACGCGCCTCAGAGGGGAAGCAAGCGTCCAGAATGACGCTTCCGAAATGATTAGTGGAAGTAAAATAATTATGGTTCGTTTATTGACTTAAAAAGAAACAGATCCGTGTGTTTAAAGTAGGAGGATGGCGCCACCGTCCGACACGCGGGGGTCGGAACAATAAAGCCCCCCATCGAGTTGATCACATCCTTAATGTATAATATTACTGTTACTGTAGAGGTTTGAAAACAGATGAGAAAAAAAGAAGCTGTAAGAATTTACACACAAATACTCAAGAAATCTTACATTTACTTACTTTACTTAGAATAATACTTAAAATATTAAGTATAGAGTAGTATAAAATACTTCTATACTAATAAAAATATGATACCACTCTGGAAATCATGTTAAGTTTACTTACTACAGTAACGAATTGCTGTAAATGTATGGTGCATTTCTAACTGTATCTTAGTTAAATATCCGTCCCTTACTTGTAAATCAACGGCCATTGTCATAAATAAACAGTAAAAGCTGTCATCTGTAATTCATCAGCATGATATATATAGTTTATGAAGGGGTGGAAATACACATCTTTATACAAGTGCAGTGAATCACAATCTACACATGTGGTGGGTTAATGTATGGAAGCCCATTTAAGCCACTGAAAAAAAGGTCCTGGAAGATCCAGTCTTACTTCAGATCACACATGTCAAGTTAATACTCTGGTTACCCGTCAGGGTGTCAGTAAACGGGACTGAATACAGCAGCAACATGTTTGTTGTCATAACTCACAATGATGTTGGGAAATTAAACAGGCTCTTATTCATAGGAGTTCATCTGGGTTCGTTTCATTACTGAGGAGCATCAAGCTGTCCGTCTGCCAGAATATGGTGTGTTTTACATCACAGCAGTGAAGAGCGACTACTGCTGTGTTGCTCATCATCCATTGAGAGAATACACTGCTTGAGGAATGACGGTCTAAATTCTTCATCATTCTATCCCAACCTTTTAGAAGAATGTCTTCGCTGGAAGAGAATATCATGAGAATTATCCTCAACACTTTGTTTCCACGTTTCAGACATGTGGTGTTGAGTCTGTTGATGACCTCAAATATGCATCCTAATTCCGGTTTCTCATCTTCCTCGTCCTTACTCACAAGCTCCCCCACCTGCTCCAGCCCGTCACAACAACCAGTGGTGCCAGTAGTTTGCCTCCGCAACAAATACCATGTATTTGAGATTCCACAGGCCAAAATGCCCCAGGAAATAGTTTTAGCACCACAAATGGTCGTAGACCCTCTTCCAAGTGGCGCCGCCAGATGATCAGAGTGCTGGTGGATGAAATTAGACAACACAACAGCAACCCCTCTCGCACGGAGTGCCGCACAGTTTGTCAGAACATTGTGCGGCACAACCCAAAGTTTTTTCGACATGACCAAATAGGTGATCCTGATTGCTGGAGGTTTTAACTCACTTCAGCAGGTAAAAGATTGCGTTGAAATTCTCAACCGGGGGGGGGCTTTAACGGCAGTGCTCGATTGGATCCCGTGGAGGAGCTGGACCTCAGCGTGGACCAACTGATGCCTATGGCTGCACACAACTTCAACCAGAGCCCGTCAGAGGAGACCAATAAACACATTGGAAGAGAAACGACACCAAATGGAAAACACCTACAAGACAGAGGGCAGAGGTTATAAATGTCATGGAGACTACATACAGCCTTCAGCGTACAGTACCTATATAAATATATCAGATGCCAGCACCATCCATTGAAGATCTTAACATAAAATGGCCATTTTTTACTCAACGGGACATCTACACGGATTTTGAGCAGTTGACGGATATCAAAGTCCTGCAAGTTTTTTAACTTTCTATTCAGGAATGTGGACGAGCACTTGTGGAATATTTCTAGTCCAAATATAAGTCCAAATCAAAATGCAATGTCCAGGCGATTGCCTTTACATGGAGATTTGACTCTATGTAGTTCAGCTTATTATGGCTCATTTTGGTGAAGCCCCAGATGGACTGATGATTCTTGCTGATGTGATTGATCAAAATGATTGATTGATTGATTGATTGATTGTACATACAGTCGTGGTCAAAAGTGTACATACACTTTTAAAGAACCAATTTTCTCTCAGCAGTAGGTGATAGCTTGGGTTTTCTTCCTGATGGTGGCAGTGACCAAACAGTGCCGTGCACTTTATACACAAACGATTGTTTGCACGGTTGCTCTTGGGACCTGCAGCTGCTTTGAAATGGCTCCAAATGACTTTCTTGACTTGTTCAAGTCAATGATTCGCTTTTTCAGATCCATGCTGAGCTCCTTTGACTTTCCCATTGCAGCGTTTGTTTTTTCTTTTCTTCATTTGCTTTTTATGGCGGTTGGCAAACAGCTTTTGGGTGCATTACCGCCACCCACTGATCTGGAGTGTTCATTCTATTCATTTGTCTTGTATTCTCTAAATATGCCAAAAGAAGTTCCCAACTTGCAACTTTTATTTACTATTTGCCGTTGTGTTTTGCACTTCAGGGCCACTGTAATTTTGGGGGCTTGATCATATTCAAAAAGTTGTTAAATTTGGCATGCATATCAGAGCTGGTTAAAAATTAATATTTTTGGGGGTCTTGCATTTGGCTAAGAAATGTTATAGCGCCCCCTAGAAATTTAAAAAGTACCACACTGTAGCCGTGCTGGAGCTACCACCGTTGGGTTCTGTCAAAGGACGCACGGGTCTACTTGGCAATATGCTTTATTTTCCTTTTTGCAGCGAGCAGTTTTCTTTGCATGTGTCACTCCGCTCCTCGGCCTCGGCCCTGAGCCTCCAGTCTCCTCCAGCTCCAAGTCCTGCTCACTGCTTTTACACGGGAGACAATCACTCAGGATCTTGTTCAGCTGTGTTTGTTAATTACCTGCCGGCACCGTTCCCTGAACCACTGCCCCGCTCTCCCCTCTGCAGCTGAGCAAACCACGCCCGCCACCACACACACTACGCCACTTTTTCCTCCCGATGCCCAATTGACTTGACATTTGGCACGCATGTGCTCTTGGACATGCTCTACAAAAAGGTCAATCATGGTATGCAAATGCGCCTAAGTAGATATTCCGCCATTTTTAATTTTGTGAAAATCACGTCCAAACTATGTGTGTAGGGAGCATTTTCAAAAAACACCATTTAGCAGAAAAATTGAAGTTATTTTAACTCAACCATACTTTATCTAATCTGCTCCATATTTGTCATATAGCATGAACTTCTCAGCCTGTAGATATCCATATGATCATTTTTAACCTCAGTCATAGGTTTTCCACCTGGGGAAAACAGGAAGTTGAATGTTTTTTTCAGGTTAATCTGATCCCTTTTAAAATGTCTTAGTAGAGAGGTAAGACCTTAATAAGGCTTCACTGTGAATATTATAGGAATCCGATAATTGGTGGCGAGATGTAAAGTTGAATCAACTACCGGTAACAGGAAATGTTCTAGTATCCGGTAAAAACAAAGGTGGCATTTTGAGATTCATACACTGATGACAGGAGCTTCCACACACAGAGACACCTGCCCATCAGTAACTAACATGCACACACTGTAGTCACAGCGACAAGAGCAATGCTGTCTTTCCCAAGGACATGGACATGGACATTAGCCAGGCCTGGGATCGAAACGCCAACTCTGATTGGAGGAGTGCTGTGGGCACTCACCCAGTCGCCACCAAAAAAAACAAAGAAGCCCGTGGTAGTTCAAAGGTAGGCCATTTAGAGAGCAAGATGGTGACTTTTTAGTTTTTCTTTTGACAAGTTGGTTCCACTTTGGGAGAAGCACAATAAATTTGAAGAATCAGCATCAACTTCTCTGCCTTCCTGATTCTCTCTGTTAACGCTGAACAAATTTGATAGATTTTGCCATTATTAGTGAATTAGTAGTAAGGCAGTATACCTCGCGGCTAATGTATTGAAAAATGTTTTTCCACATTTTCTCAATACACCTGTCTTAGGAGGAAATGCACACGGTTTCATTTATTTATTTTTAAAGTGAACAATGTGCATTTAAGGGTTACACAAGCATAAACCTACTGAAAATGCTTGGATGGTTGCCAGGAGTTCAGGAGTTCTTCTGTAGATTGACCACGACTTTTCCATGATGTTCGGAGAGAAAGTTCCTTGAAGATTATTGGCAAAATGGCCCAATTTCTTAAAACCAAAGATCTTGGCCGACTGTGAGAATTCTAATGGGAATGTTGGAGACCTCTTGGTCTGGCATCGCTCAATATCTTTAAAAAAAATAATAACTTATTTCACATGCAAGTCTTTCTTACAATCCTCTGCTTTTCCCCTAGGATAGGACAGTGACCTGTCAAGCATCCTACTGCAAAAGGACCCAAGAGTCCTAAAATTAGCTTGAGTCAGGCAGTTAAACATGTTGAGATATTTGAGGGTATACAATGTTTAAATATGCTTCAGTTATTTTCACAAGAGGCGCTTAGGTTTTTAGTAATGTAGTGGGCCATTAAAATGGTTCCTAATGACTCCGTTTTATTCCGATTGGCGCCAGTGTTGAGTCCTTCGCTGATAGTTTGGAACCAGGACAGCCCTTCCTCCTGTGTGTCGGTGAACAGAAGAACGACCTCCAAAGATTCTATATCATTGTTAACAACGCCATTCCTTTCCAGGCTGATGTCCCTGGCAGCTTTCGATGAACTCTTCAAAGCCCACTTCATCTTGTTAACTACCACGAAACCCACGAAACAGCTTCTACACACAGCGTTCAAAATTGATGTGAGAAGTACCTAGGAAAGTGTGAAGGAGCTCAGAGTAAGTGTTACGTCCCCTGACAGGACTCCGCCCCCTGATGAGAAGAGGAAATTCTCTCAGGTGATTCACCTGGAGCAGCCACCTGAGAGACTTTAGGCAATTAGTGGGCTTCATAAAGGCCCCCTGACCCAGTGCTCTCTTCTGTTCGTGGTCTCTTCATCTGACAACTAGCAGATCGCCTGTGTGTACTGTCTGCGTTCACGCTACC